TCACAAACTGTGGCATTGGAAATGATCGCTTGTTGAAAACAAATTAAGCTCCAAGACTTTGAGTTGTTGATCCTCAATGTGAGTATAGGTATTAGAAAAGTATTAGAAAAGTATTGAAAAGGTATTGAAAGTATTGAAAAAAGAAATACAAGTCAAATCAAGATACAAGATACAAGACATTAGAATAGAGGTTGAGCTACTTTGTGTTTGGCCAGTCTAAATATCTAAAAAAGTAAATATCATATTTCTCAATTTTCATTTTATTTATCCTAATACTTTTTTTTAATAAAATAGAGTATAAAAATGGTGTGAAAACCAAATGTTAAGTTAGTGGGGGAAACTGGGCTAACAAGCCGCTTGAACGAATTCAGCTCGTGAACTGTGAGCAGTTCAATTCAATAGTCCATAGGTGGTGGTTTTTCTATTACTTGGCATATGCATAACATTCGTAATATATAAATTGGAAATTATATTAAATACAAAACTCTTGATGCACGTTTATGCAACTGAATACTCAAAGTACAAACAGCCGAATGGATAGTTCGATATCACTTTGAAATTTTTCCAGGCTTAAATATATTTATATATATTTGTAGTTCTAAATCATACATACATATGTCTATAATTTTTAGGATGGGCGATATATGTGATCGAATATCGAAAAAATATAGAGATAAATATATGTAAATATATAAGTAGAACACCTGCCTAAAGCAGTATTTAACTCCCGATAGTCTCAAGATAACAGTTATTTCTGGTTCATTTTTCGTTTTCTCTCAGTTTGGTTTATATTGCAATGGCATATGTGTACAAATAAATATACATATGTATATGTTTTGTCTCTGAGTGAGCTTTATATAGCACGATTAGAACTGCGTTCATTTCTGAGATGTGCGCGCAGTGGTCATAAATTTAACAGATAACTATAGAAATAGAATGAAGCGCGTCCGAGTCGAACCGGTCTAACCACTTTTACTCTCATCACGGGCATCGCATCATAAGCAGGCTAGCGTCCATATCTGTGCGATAGTCGCTGTGGTCTTCGTATAAGTCTCTCTGTATCTCTGTCTTCGACTCGACTGCAGTGTGTCATCGTGCAAATGTTGCGCCGTAAACCAATTTTAATTTATGCTAATTGCTCAGCATTGTGGCGATTGGATAGCTAAGCGCAAGAAACGAACTTGAGTCTGAAATCGAAACTGAAATTGAAATCGAAATCGGAATCGAGTCGTATAAGATTCTAGATCTGATTGAGACTTGCTTGTCAATTGAAATGGTATCTTTAGGGTAGCTTAAAAAGGTTCTCATATGGAAATTTGACAATTCTAGGATAGGAATATCTAGTTATATGTATTCCTATAATCAAGTGAAAGCCGTTTCGCAATAGAAAGCTTGATTGGTCCACAATTACCAGAAAACGACGCCAAAACTGATTGGCAACTTGGCATATTATTTATTATTTATTTCATTGATTTGTCTTGTGGCTCTTGCTATTGTTTATTTTATTTGCTCTTTATTTATATTTTTTTACTTGGGATTTTCAATCTGTGATTCCGATGCCGATGCCGATGCTGATGCCAATGATTGAGGTGTGTATTTTTTATTCCCTCACCTTTGGAATGGCGTGTTAAATGCACAACAAGGTTCTTGTTTCATCCGTTAGATCCGCAATGCCCGACTGGCTATTGGCAAAGTGCTTTTTATTATGCCTTTTTACATACGATTTTCAGCCATAAATCATTCTATGCTGTGGGAATCTATGTATATGTATGTATAGCTGAGCTATCTGTAACTATGTGTCGTTGTCTATTGGTTGCACAAAAAGTTCAATGCTAAACAGCGAGCAGTCAGAGCACAGCACACAAAAGAATTTGCCACAGTTCAAAGCATCGTTCATTAGCCAACTCGAATTGCAACTTCGATTCCACATCCAATTGTCATGCTCAAACAACTTAGCTAACTTGGCTAACTAGGCGAGTCATAGCGCTAAAAGGTCGTACAAAGCGACTACTGCAACTGGACGAATCTCTTGATATACCAACCCGTCGTCGATTACCTCAGGACATAATAATGAAATATACAATACTTTCGATGTATTTCGTAACAAAAAATTGCAAAAGTATTTATAAATAATAACGTTTCCTGGCTTTTTGTTTGCTAAGCTAATTTCAAAATTAAGAAATTTGTTATGTATAGAAGAAAATTTAATTTTTTTTCTAATAGAGCCTTGCTTTAACTTTAAGGAATGTATTTTTAATTAATAAAAATAAAGGCAACAACTTTGAGTAAATACTGAAGGCTAAACATCACTTTGGGGAATATAGTTTTTCCCAACGGCTCAAATTGCATTCTCAAAAGTGAAGGCCTCGTTAAAGATAAAGCGCAGCTGAGCCAATAGATTGGAACGTCTGCTAGCTTTTTTTTAGTCCAATCAGCCTTAAATCAAAGACTGCATGCTGTCATGTGGTCAGTCTGAGGTCTTTAGCTATATGTACCACATGAGCACTGTATTTGTTAATATCGAATTTTTTTTTAAATGGAGGGGCTCTTCCTAAGCATATATAAGACTAAAATTGATAATATAAATATAAAGGTTATAAATATTCAACCTGTTCGAATTTGTATGGGTTTGATAAACTGAATTATACTCTTTAAAAATGGCAGAAGAGCTTTATATTGCAGGTGAATGGCAAGTGGCAGTCGATGCTGTGAGAAAAACTGACGACTAAAGACACAAAAAAGTATTATTAAACTTGCTTAAACTACTTAAAATATAACAAAGGAGATTCTAATAACCCGACGGAGAGATAAGCTGGTAGAATAGACCGACTTGTTAGTTAAATTCAGTTTTTGTTTTTATAAATGTATCTATAATACAGGATTATGCGTGTGTATAAAGTCATTCCCGTTACTTCTTTCTCCCTTTCTCTCTCTCTCTCTATCGTTCTTTATCTCTTTATCTTAACTTTTCTTCTTTTTCTCGCCATTGGTTAAATTTGTTGCTTCGACCGAAATGTATGATATTAAACAAATGTAAATTAGTTTAAATATATAATCAAACAAGCAAATTAGGTATGCCGTGTTATAGATAATAGATTATGTTGCATATATTAATGCGTAAGAATGCGCTAAAAGCGTTTCTGTTAGATTCGCCATTCTAGCTGCAACTATGGCTCCCTACTATTTGTTCAGCTTTATTTCGTAAACGACAAGATTTTGATTCAATGGTATTTTCTAGTTACTGACCTAAGGAAAAAACACCTGTGCTAGTACCTGAGTATATTATGAGTGCCCCTCGTAATGTGCTTCTATTTATACAGATGTTTCTTGTTTTTGTTTTGGACTCAAACACGTGGTATGCGCCGTATTACGCATACGCAGTGCTAACAGGATAATGCACACAAGAAACAAGAAGAGAAAACGTGAGCGAGTACGCAGTCTTATACGTAACGCCGTCTCGCTTTCTCGTTGACGTCATCAGTTTTATTTTGGACATGGCAACAAGCTGAAAAAGTAAGTATTAGAAGCAACGGCTGAGGCTTTATCGATCCATGGGTGTGTGTGTGTGTGTGTGCGTGTATGTGTATGTATGAGCCAAGTTGGTTGAAGGATACGGTGGCCAGCTGATAATTTATATGTGTGTAGTCAGAGCCAAGGACGTCACGATTTTCAAGTGCGTGTTGCATGGGAGTGCATACGTTATGTATGTATATACATATGTATTAATATCTCACATATTCTAAATCAATAGCTCAAATAGAGGAGGGCTCGCCAGGAGCTATACGAGAATAATTACATACTTATTTACCTGAACACTCGATATAGTATGAAAAATTAATTTGATTGATTGACTACTTGATTATGAATGTTCACCCCATGCTTATGATTAGAAAAGTTTACAGATAAGGGCACTAGCAATATTTTATGCTTACTTTGTATTTATCAGGCAAAACTGTGAATATTTAATTGTAGTGAGGTCATTAAAACTAAGCTCTTCGTTCAGTACCTATTTTACTAATCTTAAACTCAACAATTCAGGAATCACTTCGTAATGAAGACTCTAGTATTATGATACATGGCCAAAATCAAAATAAATCTGTAAATTTAACCACTAGAATATCAACCTGAGCTCTTAGATGTGTATTAATATTGAAGTTATTCCATAAGGCTTCACGGAACCATGCGATTTGTGTTGAAGCTTACATGAAACAACAACTGAAATAGTCTATGGTAAAAAGAAGGCGTGTATGTCGAGCTCTGAGATGCATTGGAGCTTTGGGTTTGAGTTGCGGTAGGTTGGTGAGTATGAAATCATCATGCGGTTGGTAATGGTAATGGCAGACAGTAATGAAAAGAGGGAGAGTGGATATGAAATGACCTTGAAAGCGACCAAGAAGATAATTTGAACAAGTATGTGAGAGCCACGAAGTTGATTCGTTGTTCGTGGTATGTCGTTGGTTGTTTTCCTTCTTTTGCGTTCGTTCGACTTTGCGACTCGTCTCCAACACACAGCTGGTCGTAAAGGTAATGACGTCACAATGCGTCTGTGAACTATTTTTGGTGTAGGGCAGAAACATCAGCGCTAAAGCAGATACGGTTTTTCGATTGCGTCATCAAATGCGAGTGTATGTTACGCTGAACCTTTCCTCCTTGATATACGATATACGATATGCGCTCAGCTCTTGTTTGGCTCTATAATTTCCTACGTTTATTTTTGCACGTGTTGTTCGCTCTGCGACGATTTTAGTGTTGCGTACTTCAGGCGCTTATAAATAGTAGCCATAGGCCCTGCTAAAGGTCATTGTTTTTATCTAAAAGTAGTACTCAGCATCGATTTTAATATGCAATAGAGTTGGGCGTCCTGTATGCGAGTTGGTGAATCGACCGAACCGTTCATTTCGCTGACTCACTATACCCTAACTAGTTCATGACTGATACATACTATCGCTAACGGAAGGTAAAGTCTCAAATGAGCATATCGTTCAAGAGCTATCGATTTCAATTATTTGGCTGTGGCCACAGAGCAATGCCACTATGGTTAGTAGCAATGTTCATAGCCGTTGCATCCCTTTATTTTACCGGGTCACAATTACGATGAGAATTTCTGTTGCTACAATGTTCGAAGCAAGTGTCAATCAAGCAAGCGCCGTTAAATATTCTTCAATCATTAAAAAACAAGTTGGGTGCCAAAAAACGTCAACTGAACAAGCCAATTGGAAATAAACAAGCATGCAAACACACACATACATACATATGTACATGTGTAAAAAAATCAGAAAAAGAAAAACAAAACCAAAACATCATAACAAAAAAATGTTTGAATTTGAGCTTTTGCAACGGGTACAACAACAATTTGTGATCTTGGCAAATTTTCCTTCAGACTAGAATTGCAGACGCAACTAACAACAATCTGCAGCAGCAAGCAGCTATTAGCAAACATTTTTTAGTTTTTTTTTTTGTGTTTAGTTTTTAGTTTTGGGCCCACATTACAACATCACATGTTATATGTTATATGTATGTGATTGGAGTGCGCTTAAAGAGGAAAACTAGTTATTCTTAGCGGATTCCTCCTCTCATACGAAATCGTTCTCTTTGCAATTGCAGTCGTCTTGGTGAATTAAAAAATCAGAAAAAAACAACAACAATTGATTAAAATACTAAAATTGAAGAGGCAAAAAAGATGGACAACAATTTTTTTTTTGTGGCCACGCATCGTTTTTGTTTATATTTTTTATTTTAGTTTTAATTTTACCTCGTCTCAATTTATGTTGGTTGGCACTCTTGAGAAACATTGCAGATGTCGTCGAATTTAATGAGTATTATATACTAGATATGCTTTATAGCTTTCGAAGACGACTGAATTGTAAAACATTTTATTTGGAGCGTACTAAATTTCCTGAGCCATACAAGAGTACTCTATTACTATTTTAATTATATTTCAGGCTAATTTATAGTTTGGAAAGTCAGTTTTAATATTTTATTTTGTAGATGAGAATATTTTATTTTGTAGATTGTAACTTATTTTGTTCTTATTAACTGTTAAAATTATGAACACTTTTTGTCTACAACTTGGGCTTGACCCTCATTCCGCACACAATCGCGGTCATTGGCTTACCCCAAATGCAGTGGGAAACGAGTAACGGCTGCACTTGACTGCTCCATACTCTGTTTGCAGATAGCTGAACAAACTATAACCCGAAGTCTTTTGGAGTCGAGACTTAGAAAACCCTAAAAGCATCTGATTTTGTGTTGTGCGTAAAATTTGTTTAACGACAGCCAATATAGTCTCTTTACACAGACGTATAGTGAAGAAATAAGCAAAATTATAGACGAAACAAGGTAAAAGCAACAACAGGCCAACGGCTGAGCAATCCAATCAGTTTGAAATTAAGGTTTCCACATGCGCCGGCAGCAACCGGCAGTCAAATTGACCAACAGCCAATAAAGTAACCAAAAATCGTCAGATTGTAAAAAATTGTACAAATTGTAAAAACAGCAAGAAATCAAGAAGACAAAATAGTAAAATTTCGAGGGAAACCTGCTGCCTGAGCCCAGGCGAGACGACGCCTCAAAACGCATTCCCAAGATGCTATTAGACCTCGACTGGTTCTGAGCACCAGCTCACAGTCAGATTACCCGACCGGCCATCCAATCATCCATCTATCCATCTCTCTGACAGCAAGTTCTTGGCGTGCCAAAGTGTGGCATCGCCGCGTGATGCGAGGACATTGCACTCGCCGCATTATTGGCAAATTGCAAATTGCAAATTGTAAATACACTGCAATTAAATAGAAAACGAAATCAAAATACAAACTATGCGGAATCGAGTGCGCACAATCTATTCTGGGACTTGAAAACTGTATAGGAGTTGGGGCTGTTTTATAGATAGCCATCGAATCGGGCACTCAGTAGACAGACAGGCAGACAGACAAATTTACAATGGCTAATTATGCAGCAATAGTTTTGTATTAAGTTGAAGAATTTAGTATGCACCCGATATAAAGGAGGCAGAGTCGTGTATCGCAATAGCGTACGAAAAATTTAAAAATAATTATAAACTAAAAAGTATAAATAATAATAAATTGATACACATAACTCTTGCGTAATCTGGGTTGATTCCTCATTTTGTGTAGAGCCCTCAAAAACCTTGCTTGGTCAATCCCATAGACAAAAGGGAACCGTGCGATCAATCCGAACGTTGTGTCTCTGAATTGCTTATAAAATTCGCATAAATCAACGCAGATAATTAGGCAGACGCCAGAGTCAATAATAATCATTAGCAAAGCCGCAATATGACTGTTTCTCTTTCTCTAGAGAGAAAGACAGCTAGCTGTCTTCATTTTTATACCCTGAACCCATTTTCAATGGGAAATTAGGGTATAATGGTTTTGTTGAAATGTATGTATCAGGCAGAAGGAGGCGTGGCAGACCCCACAAAGTATATATATTCTTGATCAGGGCGACGAGCTGAATTGATTTGGCCATGTCCGTCTGTCCGTCCGTCCGTCTGTCCGTATGTTTGAACGCGTCGATTTCCGAAGAGCTAGATACTTGAATTTTTTTAAATGACCGTATATACAGCGCGGATGTCGAGTTTGCCTTTAAAAATTCGATAAATCATCCCGTTATGTTTTTATCGAATAAAAACATTCAAGTTCAAGTCAGATGCCACTATAGCTAATTGTGAATAATTTTTCATTTTTTAAATTTCTCAAATATGCAATATAATATGTAAATCATATGCTGCAAGTTTCATTAAATTCCGTTCAGTCTAAAATTAATAAAAAATAATCAAATATTTAGCCAATTAACAAACGCACGTGCAGCAGCTACAACAGTATCGTATACGTGTGCACACATACATTCAAACTTCTTCTAGAACATTCACATCAGCTGATGTTAATTTTTTTAATTGTTTCAAAATATTTTTTATTTTGATAAATGAGTTTTCTATTTAATTCATATTTTTAAATACACCAAAATTGAAATTTTCACCATACTAAATGTGCGTTTTTAATAGTTTGGTTATTCTAGCAGATTCTTAGAATCACATCAGCAGTTAGTTTGGTTTAGCTTTGCTAGATGGCGCTGCATCAGTGAATCTATTTCAGTTTTGCCAAAGCGGCTTTCGAAAGTGAGGTGGCGTAGTGAGTAACTGCGTGACGCTCGGTCGAGAAGTCGCGGGTTCGAATCCCGTGCGAATGCAGCTGATGTGAATTTTTTTAATTGCTTCAAAATATTTTTATATTTTATTAAATGAGTTTTGTATTTTATTTATATTTTTAAATACATCGAAATTGAAATTTTAGCCATACTAAATGGGCTTTTTTATTTGTTGGGTTCAGGGTAGTATCTAGTCGAGCACTCTCGACTCGAGTTTTCTTACTTTTTATATGCCTTTCCGAAATTTGTCTTCAGTTTTGTGGTTTCACACGAGGTGTGAAAATAACGACCTAAACTTGATCACTGCCAAAGCCAACAGCAACAAATTGATCAAAAACACCTTAGTATAGGTAGACAACAATCTTTTATTTGGCGGAAAATCCAAGAAACTTCATTTCATTTTCATTTTCAAATGCCTTCGAATATACTTCACGGACGATATGAATCGATCTTCCGCCATAGCCGAATAGTAGCCTCTATTTTTTTAGGACGTCATCTCTACATAAATATAAACCATCAGAATCAAAAAAGAATATACACATTATTTTAAACATATCCTATCGAGTAAGTTTTTAATCAATTGGGTGTTAATCATTAAGTATTTGAATAGTCGTTTTTTATGAATTGAGTATCAGGCAGTACCTTGACTTATAGTAGACGATTCAAAATGTAGCTGGCAAATAGATTCATCATTTATTTGCAATGGAGATGCAATTGACCGTTAATGATGCGATGCACAGTTAACGAAACAAAAGCTGGCAGCCAGAGAAATTAAAATTGTTGTTGCTTTAAAGGACACAACTAATTTCACACGCAAACAAAAATAAAAAATAAAATAAAAGGAAAACAAAATAAATAAAATCAAAACGGAATTGCCCGGCATAATAAAAGATACCAAAACAGTGGACCAAAAATGTCTCGTGATTATTTTGCATGCAAAATGTAGACTCATAAGAAATACGGGCGACGTCATGAGAACGTGCTCTTCAGGTTAAATATATCTGTCTATATAGCCATATAATACCTATGCAGAGCTCTGACGCAGTGGACTACTTTCTCACATCGATTTGATGGCTCAAGTTCAAAAGATTTTCTCTAAGGCCCTCAGTTGACGACGCACAGTGGGACCTTTGCATATTTTGCGATACAAACACAAGTTTCTGAATGAAGAAATTTATTTTTAATATCTAATAGCCATTTGAAAGTTTTAAATCATCCTCTTTGCCTTTCCTGTGCATTTCAATTCGATGTCACATTGGTTTTATTAGGTATGCTTGGTAGAGGTAGAATTGAAAATTCAATTCAATTCAACTCAATTTAAATTTAAAAGCCATTTCAAGCATCAATCCTTTTGGCCAATTATTTGCATTGTTATTTCAATTTTCTCACGCTTTATGGGTTAAGGCCCTACTGTGAGCTACGCCCATTCCGCCCACCTACCCCGTGTCATCCGTGAAACCTACTGTAACGTATTGCATTCGCTCTAATGGCGTAGCTGGCGTCATGGTTCTTTCATCTGCTGTAGTTCACTCTCCTACGTACCTATATACAAATATTATAGAAATACAAAAACAAATAATACGAAATGCGAATCAGAGAGCACGATACATCTATTAGAACCGAGGGCAATTATCAGTTCATACCCAAGAAATAATTAACTCGAATATGATTTGTTGCACTGGGTCATTGGACTGGCAAGTGCTTAAGCCCCGTTATAGAACCCATAAGAAATACAGAAATGACGATAATTAAAAAAAGTAAACTATTTTTGGTCTATATAAACATGTGAGAAATATAAAAAATGGGAGTAATATTTAAAATCTCCATTATTAGCGATAATGTTTACCTATCTTCTCTCAAGCAGCATACGGATTACACATAAAAAATCTATTTCCAAATAGATTTGTGAATTTAAATGAAATATTTGCATGCTGTATATTCCTGAAGTCCATTAGAATAAATGATATTTTGATCAATTTTCCGATTGGAATGTTGGGTAAAAAATCATAAGCATAAGGTAATAATTTTTATTGTCTAAGTACCGTAAAATAGTATAACAAAGTAATAAGAATATAGAGAAGTCGTACAAATAATGGTTATCCAGATGCAGCACACAGTACGTTTGTTTCTCTGAAATAAAGGCGTCAATAATAACACTCAAGTGTGCCTGTGTTATATGACAGTGTGTAAGTGTGCATGTAAGTGCATGCGTGTGCTTGTGTGCGCTTGTCATGCACAGTGTAAATCATTTTGCGTCAGACTTTGTGTCGCTCTGCCTCTATTTGTATCCGTCTGCCACAGTGGCTGCTCCTCTTCGCTGTCTGCTGCCTTTGCGATGCTCTGCTGACGCTGGCAAACATGTGCTTGGATGGGCAAAGCTCGTCTGTCTGTCTATTATATGCATATATTTATATTCTTCTATATTGCTATTATGACCCCCTTCTCCCTGCCCTGAGCGGGCAAAAATTGATGTCGTCATTCTGCCCGAGGCGTGTTTATAATTTCAGTTAATGCAGCAGCTGCATTCAACAAATCTTTTTTCTTCGCCATTACGCAGCACTTTTGGCAGAATGCGTAATGTTGCACATACGCAACGTGCGCGTAGTAATTAGAAGCAACGAGCCCCACCTCCACCACCTCAACCATCACCAATATCGAAGGGAGTCACGCATACATACAAGTCTGTGTTCCGTTACTGTGCCAACAACTACTGTTATTCGAGTGGAGCCCTGCAGAGCCTGGCAAATGCTGCGTGCAAAGTAAGCCGGAGGAGACGGAGGAGCCGGCTGAGCAGCCCAAATGTCCAATATCGCAGCCGTCGGGAAAGAGGTTGCGACAGGGATAGATCGCTGCCGGAAAAGTTACGCACTTCGAATCAGTGTTCAGATTCTGCCTATAGTAGGAGTTGTTATTGACCTCATAGTAGATGTTGCTCTCGTAGGGCAGTGTATACAAGGACTCCTGACACTTGATGGCCGGCGATGGCAGCAAAAGTTTCACTGTTTGATGTGGCTGCTGTGGCAGCATTTGTTCATTTTCAATGAGTCTACTATTATTGTTATTGTTATTGTTATTGTTGCTATTGCTGTTGTTATTGCTGTTGTAGGAGTGGCTTACCGGCGCCGTCGCCTCTTGCTTCACCACAATCAAAGAGGCAAGACGATCGCGCATTATATGTATTGGCTAGTGTGTATCTGTGTGTGCGTAATGTAAATGACGGCGATTCATGAGCAGGCAACACAAGGCACAAGAAACAAACATAAAAGAAACAACATCAACAGTCAAAGGACACATGAAAGTTATTAAACACCTGTATGGCGCACTGCAACACGATGGAGATCCAGCACGACGTCCGAACTGGAAGCCAATTTTGTGTCTAGCACAAAAACTTGGCAATTCGCCCGCTGTGGTCACTCCGATAATACATAGCTGTAACCGAGCGTGGCTGTTGCTGCCACTATTTGCTCGACGTTATTTGATGCACACTCGCGGCTTACACTTGTCCTCGCCTATTTCTGTTATGTCCTTAAACTTGAACTTGCGAATTCCGCGATTTATCCGGCCTCCACCTCCTCCCGGCGACCCTGCTTATTCTTATTCTGCTCACAGGCGTTTGCGCAGTACCCGCGGATGTCGCGACGTAACCAACTGACGACGCAATGGCTTACTCACGTTTATATGTCAACGTATGTGTGGGTCTGTGTGTGTAAGTAGGCGACGTTATATATACTCGAAATACAAGGACTCTACTCAATGTTAAATGTGCAAAGACATCAACAATTTTTGTTGTTGCTCGTGTTATAGTTGGTATATTTACTTAGTGTTTGCACCTGCACTGAAGTTTCACATAATTCTACACAAATATACATGGAGATATTCAATGGATTATGCTCACACAATATATTCGAATTGCAATAGTTCACGTTACACATACGCAGCGTAGCACAAACGCGCGCCACAGCTGCAACGGGAGTTGCACGATATTACGCATACGATGTGTTCTCAATCGGCTTCCGTTTCCGTGTTGGTCTAGATGACAACTTGTTGCAATAAAACTGAGCTATTCGTTGAGCACCAATTAAATATTTCTATACTTTGTATATTGTTTGTATTAGTATTATTATTATATTAGAGACATTTGTACGTTCGAAAATGAGTGCCGCTTTTATTTTGCTCTATGCGATTATTAAGCGATTTGGGCTGGTTGTTTAATATTTGCGAAAGGTTGTTAACAATGCGGCGTCTGTGACGCGACTGAACTTATCTTTACAGTTATACGCGACTATATCCAAACGGAGGAGCAGCACACCAAGCGAACAATCTGCTTCAGTCGGCGTCGCCAGCTGCTTGTGAGAGAGAGAGCAAGAGAGCCAGAGAATGAGAGAGAGGGAGAAACCCGTGCTCGGGTGCAACACACGACCTACCTTGCGCACTCGGTTTTCGGTTTTTTGGTAAGACAAATCGTAAGCGCTATTACGTCATTTACCGAGCCATCATCATCGGCAAGAGCAAGAGCCAGAGCAGGAACAGGGGTAGCCGCCCCAGCAGCGATGCTAGTTGCGGCAACAACAGCAATACAAAGCTCGTGCGAACAAAAATCGATGACGTCGTTGTTAATGCGCCTGCGCTGCAGCCGAAATGGCAGTGGGCAAATATACGTATACGAGAGCGCAATAATGTAGGTGCACAGCTCTGTCGACGTCGTATGAAAGCGAAGACGGAACTAATTTGCGTCATAAAAAGCTCTGTACTGCTCTGTTCTTTAAACGGCAGTGGGAAATTGATTTTCTAGTTGCTGTTTTGCTTTTTCACCTGCTTTGTTTAAATGGCTGTTCACTCCCCCCTCCCCCGCTATCACCCCCTACTATGTCTCTCTCTCTCCCTCTCTCATGTTTTCTAACTGTTTCTTTACATTGTTTCACACGCCCACATCTAAAACATCCTTAACAAACTGAAACGGAGCCGGCATGCCGTTTATATACCGGGAAAGCCCTTGAACCTACACGTAGATTTACCTATTATATATTTTTGTGTGCATCTTACATATGTACATAAGTATGCTCTCTAATTTTATTGGCCAACAGGACGATATATTCAATTAAAAATTGATCCATAGAAGAGTCTCTACATGCATATTTACATGTTTAATTAAATAAAGAAAATCTTAACGCACTTTACCATTGACAATCGGTAGTGCAGCTTAGAAACCTGAGCGGCAAACAACCGTTAGTAATATATGTACATTAAATTAGCTCCTCCTCTCGAAACTACAAACAAAACCGAAAGCAACAAGTGACACACACACACACACACACACCAATATTCGCACACAAGCAGACACTTTTATGAAAACGTGAAGCCGAAGCTCGGATCACAATCCTCTTGAGCGAGAGCGAAATAAAATTGAACGTGGACTGAGTGAGAGAGCGAGACTGAGTGGGAGAGTGAGAGTGAGAGTCGGTCTAGCAGCGTTTGGTTTCCAGTTTGAGGCGGAGTAGAAGTATATGTAGGTGAGGCCGGTAACGTTTCGTTTTCGTTCGTTTTGCGAGTTCGTGCTGTGTAATGCATTCGTTGTGGCTATTTTTAGACAGATTCCAAGCCACGTTTTCTAACTGTTTTTAGCGTATGCCTGAGCCTGAATCACAACGGCAGAGCTTGAGACAAACGTGAGATCGCCGGTCAGCAGACTTGGGCGCAGTGGGCTCTTCCTTTCGATTTCGCTAGATTTTTTCCCATAATGCTTTTTCAGCGCTTTGGCATAGGCATTGCCTTTGGTTCAACGCCAACACACCCCACATACCCCACACCCCACATTGTATTAGTGTTGCAGTTCAGTTCACCTTAGCATGGTGAGCCTCACATGCATACATACACACATACATACATATGGAGGTACGTACAAGTTGAATTTTTGGGAGCGACGCAAGTGGAACTGGTCTGGTGAAGTTTGTGTTGTTATTGTTGTTTGTGTTTTTGTTTTGTTCATTTATTCATGGCTGCTTCTGACTTGTTGGCGCTGCTGCTGACCCGCTCGTGGCCCCAAAAAGTGCATGCATATACCGCCAGCCTAGCGTCGGACAAGCGTTGGAGTCGCTTCCAAGATGTTATATTGTTGTTGGTTTTATTGGCTGTATTAAGCATGGCTTGCCAAGCCAACAACGTGAGGCAACGCTAGGCAACACGAGGCGACGCGCCGCGACGTCGAAGACAAGCCAATAGTTGGCACTCCTTGCTTTTGCTGCTGCCTTAAAGTCTCTTTAGCTTTTGTCTTTTCTGCGATGATATTCTAAATGTGCTGCGCCAAATTTACTTCGTCTGTTGAATTTGTTGTTGCTGCTGGCCTAATCCATGTATCGTTTTCGCATCGTTGCGCGCAGTTCGTGAGTTTAATTTAAGGAATTTTAGCTCTTTTTGATTGCTGTTTAGTCTTTGATTTTTGTATGTCTTTACCAAATTTCAATTAGCAAGCGGCACTTTGCGTTTGCTATTTCAATTGTTTTTTTCTTTGCTGTTGTTGCTGTTGTTGTTGTTGTTGTTGTTGTTGTTGTTGTTAGGCTGCACATTTGTGACGGCGCCTTTTGAATCATTTGCATAATTTGCTCGTGGTTGGGCCAACTCTTTACCTCTCCATAAGTTTGGTGTGCCTTGCTTTACTTTGCCTAGTCTCAAGCCGTTCCGGACTTGCTGACATGCCCATTTTATCGATGACCCACCTATCTATTACCGAGCATAACTATACCCATAACATCCCATGCAAATTTTCGGAGTTGACTCCGTTGCCTGCAGGTGCTTTTCGTGGCGAATTATTGTCATTATATCTATTCATAGTATTTCTATATATAAATGTATATGTATATATGGTCCAACCTGCAAACATCTTTTGTGCCCTCTGGTGCAAGTATTTCATGCAATATTTGGGAGTTTTCGAATTTACTTTAGGCCAAATAACATTATGTCGAAGAAGCATGCCAGTATTTCATCCAGCATACAGGTATAAAAAAAATAAATACTTGAAGATTTTATATACTTGTATGATATCCTTTCAGTTCCAATGACATCGAAGAAAGTAAAAATTCGTATTAAATCAACTATTAAATTGGTGGATTCCTTGCTACTTATTCTGCAAATACAGCTTTTTGATTGACCACGCCCCTTTTTGATAAGAGAGTTTATTTGCCAAGTATATTGTATTTCAACTTTTAAGCGGGGTCAGCGAAAACTTTATAGTAGTATAATATGACCACATCTCTATTTTCTATATCGCTTTTCAATCCGTGTACGACTGTTAAAGGTATAACATAAAATTAATATAGTTCATCATGCACAAGTAATGTACCATATTAGAGTCCCAGATTACCCCACCCATTCATAACCCAAGCAATTTTAAACCAAATCTAAGACAGCAAATGATGGACGGATTATCCTTAGGAATTCTTATTGGTTAAATTAATATCAATCATCTATTGAAGGCAGACAGGCAGGCCTAAGGGTGAAAGTATCCAACTATCAACTACCGCCTTCCGGTGCTTATCAAGTTCCTGTGTTCATTAGCATCCCATTATTTATAGCGCAATGCTTTGCGGCTGGTTGGCCACACGCGCCGTGACGTCATAACACAGTGTACAAGCGATCGATAAACAAAGACGTCATCAATTTGGGTGGCGGCGCGTGTCCGTGACGGGCTACATGGACATGCGCTGTTAATTGCGCTCGCGCCATGAATGAAAGCTTTGGAGCATGTGGTGAGTGCGCCGGCAGAGGCAGTGACAGTGGCAGAGGTAGATGCAGAGACAGAGGCAAAGCTTTATGCGGAGGCAGAGAAGAAACGCCGGCCGGCAACGGAGGGTCGGCGTCGCAGCGTCGGCTATAGTCTCCATTACGGCTGATGTTGTGCTCTCGCTCTGGCCAGCAGCAAGCGCGTGAATCAGTGACGTAACAGTGCGACGCCTTTACTCTACGTACTTTCTACGGCTATCTCTCTTTTTGTGACGTCAGAGTTGGATGCTACTAGACTGTTCGTATGGTCAGCATATGTCATGCCCTCTCGCTCGCTGTGACGTCAGTGAACCGTCTTTTTTAAGCCTGCTGGGGCTATTATTATTATTGCATGATTAATTCATTAGCACAGGTGCAACGAAAAAAATTCAATATCTGCGAGCTTAGTATTTTTGTTGTTGCGAAAATTGACTGCGTGCATATGTATGTGCATAGGAGTCTCCAAACCATTTGAAATATGCTAAATATAGAGGGTATTTCAAGTCACCACACAGCACGCTCTATTATC